AAAGGAGAGGAGAGTAGATGATAATCTGATGGGTTGGGGCAGGGAGTTCCAGAGGATGGGTGACACCCTGGAGAAGTCCTGGAGGCGGGCATGGGAGGAGGAGACCAGGGAACTAGAGAGAAGGAGGTCTTGTGAGGAGCGGAGTGTGCGTGCTGGGCGGTACTTTGATATTAGGTCAGTGATGTAGTTTGGGGCAGTATGGTGGATGGCTTTGTATGTCAGTGTTAGGATTTTGAATTTGATCCGTTGCACAATCGGAAGCCAGTGGAGGGATTGGCAGAGGGGGGTGGCAGAAACGGAGCGGTTGGAAAGGTGAATGAGTCTGGCAGCCGTATTCAGGATCGACTGAAGCGGGGATAGCCAGCGGCGAGGCAGGCCAGTGAAGAAGGAGTTGCAGTAGTCGAGTCGTGATTATGATGAGGGAGTGGATGAGCTGTTTAGTGTTTTCTGGGGTTAGGAACGTGCATATTTTGGCGATGTTGCGGAGGTGGAGTCTGCACGAGTTTGTTAAAGATTGGACTTGGGGCTGGAAGAATAGGTTGGAGTCCAGAATGACACCAAGTACTCTGGCCTGCAGGGCGGGTTTGATATTGGCGTTGTTGGATGTGATGGAGAAGTCAATGGGGGGTGGGGTCCAGGCTGGGGGGAAGACAAGAAACTCGGTTTTGGAGAGGTTCAGTTTAAGGAAGTGGAGCGACATCCAGTCTGATATGTCGCTCAGTAGGTGTGTGATTCGGGCAGAGACCGAAGGGGTGAGGTGGGGGGTTGAGAGATAGATTTGTGTGTCGTCGGCATAGAGGTGGTAGTTGAAGCCGTGAGAGTGTATGAGTTGGCCAAGGGAAGAGGTGTAGATGGAGAAGAGAAGGGGCCAAAGGACAGAGCCTTGAGGGACCCCAACAGAGAGGGGGAGTGAGGGGGAGGTGGTAGCATTATAGGTAACGCTGAAAGAGCATTGTGACAGGTAGGATGAGAGCCAGGAGAGAGCAGAATCTCTGAGGCCGAGGGAGTGTAGTTTTTTTGAGGAGGAGGGGGTGGTCGACTGTGTCGAAGGCCGCAGAGAGGTCAAGGAGTAGGAGCACTGAATAGTGGCCATTAGCTTTGGCAGTTAGCAGGTCGTTGGAGAGTTTGAGTAAGGCTGTTTCGGTGGAGTGTAGGGGACGGAAGCCAGACTGTAGGGGATCGAGGAGGTGGTTGTCGTTGAGGTGAGAGCATAGGCGGGTGTAGACGAGGCGCTTGAGGAGTTTAGATGTAAATGGGAGCAGGGAGATGGGTCTGAGGTTGTTCGGGTCATTGGGGTCCAGGGAGGGCTTTTTAAGTATGGGGGTGATGTGTGCATGTTTCAGAGGGGAGGGGAAAGTGCCTGAGGAGAGGGAGAGATTGAAGATGTGGGTGAGGGAGCGTAGGATGGAGGGGGAGGGAGGTTGTAGGAGTTGTGAGGGGATAGGGTCGAGGGGGCAGGTGGTGAGGCGGGCATCAGAGAGGATCTTGGAGACTTCCTCGATGGTAGTAAGGTCAAAGGTGCGGAGTGTTGGGGGAGCTTCAGTATGAGGAATGTAGGGTGGAGTGGAAGTGGAGGTCAGAGCAGTGGTGGGGGGCCGTGGGAGAGGGGTGATGAGGGGGTAGCTGAGTGAGGGGCAACGGGGTTGGAGGGAGTTTGAGCAGTGACGAAGTCCCTGCGGGTTATGTCGAGGGAGAGGGGGGATGAGGGGGTAGCTGTGTGAGAGGGGACGGGTTGAGAGGGCGTGTGAGTTGCGGCAATGTCCTTGCGAATTGTGTCAATCTTGTTTTTGAAGTGATTGGCAATCTCAAGGGCGGTGAGTGAGGTGCTGGGTGGAGGTGGGGGGGTGGCGAGAGTAGAGAGTTGAAGGTGGAGAAGAGTCGGCGAGGATTGGAGGAGAGGGTCTTGATGAGGGTCAGGAAGTAGGCTTGTTTGGCTGCGTGGAGGGAGGTGGTGTAGGTGTGGAAGGTAGATTTGTAGCGGGTGAAGGCTTGTTGGGATTTTGTTTTGCGCCATAGTCGCTCCAGGGCACGACTGTGTCGTTTGAGGGTTTTGGTGTGATCAGTCTGCCAGGGCTGGAGCTGTCGGGGTCTGATGTTGCGTGTGGTTAAAGGCGCTAGTGAGTCAAGGGCTGTTGACAGCGTGTTGTTGTAGGCAGTCATAGCCAAGTCGGGGAAGGACAGGGGGAGGATGCTGTCATGGAGTTGATCAGCTGCAGAGTGGAGGGGGGCAGGGTTAAGGTTGCGGAGGTTACGGCTGGTAGTAGTGTGTGACATTTGGAGGGGTAGGTGTTGGAGGACGAGGAGATAGAGAAGGTAATCAGGTTGTGGTCAGAGAGAGGGAATGGGGTGTTAGTGAGGTTGAGGGGAGCGCAGCGGTTGGAGAAGACAAGATCAAGGATATTACCGTTGGAGTGGGTGGTGGATTGTATGCACTGTGCAAGTGCAAAGGAGGAGGTTAAGTGGAGGAGATGGGATGTGTCCGGGTTGTCGAGGTTGACAGGGATGTTGAAATCCCCAAGGATGATGGTGGGTAGCTCAGAGGAGAGGAAGAAGGGTAGCCAGGAGGAAAAGTCGTCCAGGAAGCGGGGTATGTATCCAGGAGGCCGGTATATCACAGCAATCTTCAGGGGGGTTGGGGAGAATAGTCGGACGCAGTGGGCCTCAAAGGAGGAGAAGGATAGGGAGGGGGGGGGTTTGGGAGGACTCGGAAGGTGCTCTGCGGTGACAGGAGCAGACCAACCCCACCACCTTTACGACCGTCAGGTCTGGGTGAGTGGGTCCAGGTGAGACCTCCGTAGGAGGGTACAGCAGGGAAGGTAGAGTCAGTATGCTCTATGCACTGTTTTTGTGTTAATCTGAATGCCACACAAAGTTTGGAGGTCTTTAGCTATTGACTCTGCAGACAGTTGGTGACTTCAGTGAACTGTGCTCTTTAGCATGCGCTGACCCCGCTCTGTCATTTTAGATGGCCTACCACTTGGTGGCTGAGTTTCTATTGTTCCCACTTTATACTTTTACTGTTACAATACCACTAACAGTTGACTGTGGAATATTTAGTAGCAAGGAAATTTCACAGATGAACTTATTGCACAGGTGGCAACCTGTCATGGTACCACACTTGAATTCACTGAGCTTCTGAGAGGGTTCCCCAGGGTGCGGAATCTAAGCCCCAGCTTGCTTGTTCACCAGGGTCCCTGATGGTGGGGATGGACTTGCAGCAGGCTGGGACCAGGTCGCGGACCCCAGGTACACCCAGCTGAGGTGGAGGAGGACTGCTAGTGGGAGCAGGGTGCAAGGGAGAAGACACAGGGAATCCAATGGGCAAGCCGAGGTCAGGACAGGCGGAAAACTAGCAAGGTCAGGAATGGGTCGGTACACAGATAGACAACACAGGATTCACAGCGGAAACACATGGGAGCTCCAACAACACAAAGTTGCTCAGACAAAGTGGGACAGACTAAGCATTTCTTAAATAGACAAGCCAGCTAGGAGGAGGCCCAGGAAGTGATGAAAGGGAAGGACATAAAACCCAGGGAATAGCAGACGACACCCACAGGTGAGCACAGACAAACACACATGTGAAGGAATCAAAAGCAGCAAGGAGGTAAGAATATACACGCAAGAGTCTGCAAGCTAACTTGTGACAGTGATATAGAAAGCATAAGATCAAGACATCCTGTGGAACATAGGCAGAAGCCATGGGGCCTCAAATTAACGTCCACTGAGTGTACATCAAGACAATTTCTACAGGAGTCAAGGGAATGACTTAAGGTAAGTAAATGGCAGAAAAGGGAAAAAGGGAGGAAGGAGTAGTGATAGAGAGTGACCCAACCAATCCAGATTGTTGTCCTTACAGGTAGTTCAAGTAGCACCAGATATATATTTAATTCATGGATCCAATATTTTCTCCAAAAATGCATTTTATCATGCAAAATATCGGAGAGGAGTTCATTAACCATGATCCACGACAGTTTGGCCTTACATTACAAATCAAATGTAATTGTGGAGGATTTCAAAAATCTGGTGATAGAAATTCTTGCTGCTACAAAGATAATCCTATTAATCTCCTTGTGTGTCCCCTCCATTGGGTGACCCAGTAGTGCCTGATGTAAAGATTTTGTGAGGTTTATCTGTGACAGCGTGAGGAAAGTACTGCCGATAACCGGCAACTGTCAAAGGAGACATCTACACTGATTATCAGTGCAGCCTTAAAAGTGCCCAACAGTGCTGTTCAACAGTGCAAGCAGTGCTGACCATTAGTGCCCAACAGTGCTGCCCATCACTGCCCAAGTGCTGCCCATCAGTGCCCAGCATTACTGCCAATCTGTGCCTATCAGTGCTGCCATCTGTGCCCATCAGGGCCTCTAGTCAGTGCCGCTTATTAGTGCCGCCTATCAGTGCTGTCAGTCAGTGCACTTCAGTGCTGCCTATTAGTGCCTATCAGTGCCACCTATCAGTGCCCATCAGTGCCATATATCAGTGCCTCTTCATCAATGCCCACCAGTGCTGCTTCTTCAGTGCTGCCTCATCAGTGCAGCCTATCAGTGCCTCATCAGTGTCGCCTCATCAGTGCCCATCAGTGCCGCCTCATCAGTGCCCAGCAGTGCCTCCTATCAGTGCAACTTCATGAACGCACATCAGTGAAGGAGAAAAATTACCTGTTTGCAAAATTTCATAATAGAAACAAAGAAAAACATTTATTTTTCCCAAATTTTTGGTATTTTTTCATTTATAGTGCAAAAAAACAAAAAACTCTAGTGATTGGATACCACCAAAAGAAAGCTCTATTTGTGTGTGAAAAAAATGATAACAATTTCATATGGGCACAGTGTTGCATGACCACGCAATTGTCAAAGTGTGACAGCACTGATAGCTGAAAATTAGCCTGGGCAGGAAGGGGGTGAAAGTGCCCAGTAGGCAGGTGGTTAAGCTGCTCATGGCCATGGTTGCACACTTGCCCCAGCACATACAATGCAGGAATAATCACCCTGCATTGTACATGATGATACTAAGGAGCTGCCCACAGACCAGAGCTTTGGGAGAAGAGGCAGCACTGGAGTGGGGGATTGGGTAAGTAAGTAATAATGCCTGTTCCCAGGGGCTGACTGACAACCCCCAGGCAATAGGGGATCATGGGGCCCCTGTGTCCTTGCCCACACTCAAAGCACACCCAAAAAAGCCTATAAAAAGGTACCAGGGGCATTTCATGGGGCCCCCTTCTGACCCTGGGCCCTCGGGCAGTGCCCGAGTGCTTGAATGGTCAGTCTGCACCTGCCTGTTCCTCTACCCCCGTGATGTGGGGGTTTGTCAGAGCATTTAACTGGTGCAGTGCCCACTTCAAAGACAGTTTTTTTTTCTACTTTTTGGAGTTGGGCTTTAAATAATGCATCAGGACCCCATGACTATTTCTTACATCTCTGAATACCTTTGCACATTGCCTTTGAACATTGCTTTTCCTCTACTGAACAAGGAACGATGGAACGTTGAGTGCCTTTGGAATTCTTTGGAGTGGGGGATTGGGTAAGTAAGTAATAATGCCTGTTCCCAGGGGCTGACTGACAACCCCCAGGCAATAGGGGATCATGGGGCCCCTGTGTCCTTGCCCACACTCAAAGCACACCCAAAAAAGCCTATAAAAAGGTACCAGGGGCATTTCATGGGGCCCCCTTCTGACCCTGGGCCCTCGGGCAGTGCCCGAGTGCTTGAATGGTCAGTCTGCACCTGCCTGTTCCTCTACCCCCGTGATGTGGGGGTGTCAGAGCATTTAACTGGTGCAGTGCCCACTTCAAAGACAGTTTTTTTTTTCTACTTTTTGGAGTTGGGCTTAAATAATGCATCAGGACCCCATGACTATTTCTTACATCTCTGAATACCTTTGCACATTGCCTTTTGAACATTGCTTTTCCTCTACTGAAACAAGGAACGATGGAACGTTGAGTGCCTTTGGAATTCTATCATAAATGACACATACAGCAGGAAACAGACACCTACAATATTCTGTCTTCCTCTGGCAATTCCAGTAGTTACTCTGTTAACTTCGTCTGTCTTTATCTAAGCAACAAAATGTGCCTGCTAGCAGATGGTGCCTTTCCCTATTGTAGAGGAACAGAGCCTCTGCTTTTTTATAAATACTGTCATCCATCTGCTAAAACCAACAGAAATTAACACTCTTATCTTCCGTAAATCAATAATTACATTTAATTATCCAATGTTTTATTCTCCTTCTGGGGTACATTTTTGTTCTGGTTTTAGGAGGAGGGACATTGGAAAATTATGCCAAAAACAATTATGACTTTTAGCACTTATTTTGATCTGTGAAGACATCATTGTATATCCAGTATTTAAATTCAGCTGCATATGCATGCACTGGTTCTGATGGCAGATCAGGGGCGGACTGACAACTCATGGGGCCCCCGGACAATAGGGGATCATGGGGCTCCCTGTGTCCTTGCCCAAACTCAAAAAAGCCTATGAAAAAGGTACCAGGGGCATCTCATGGGGCCCCCTACTACCCCGGGCCCTCGGGCAGTGCCCGAGTTTCCAAATGGTCAGTCCGCCCCTGCCCAGAAGCATGCAAGTCTGTCCAATTTCTAACATGCAATACACAATCATTATATAAATTTGCTGCATTCAGCAGAATAGCAATACATGCAAAAAATGGAAAATTGCAAGTTAAAAAAAGAAAAAAAAAAATACTTGCAGCACAACAAAAAAAAATTATTTTTGCATAGGATATATTGCAACTCAGCATGTAATATCTATGATGCACTGTTGCAAATAAATGGTGTAAAAGAAATAAAATGCATGATTACTTGTTGCCCTGTTCATCTTCCTCCACATTCCAGTCCAAATGGTTTCCAAATGGTCAGTCCGCCCCTGTGGCAGATTATTATTACTATTATCATACAGGATTCATATAGCGCCAACAGTTTGCACAGCGCTTTACAAAATCTAGCTCTTTTATTTTATTTTTTATTTTGATTTCTATTTTAAATACAAAAAACAAAAAAATAGATGTTAATAGTAGATGTTTTATTTCTTCAGTCCTTAGATGTGGTGGTTGCATTAGCTTTAGTTTCACCTAGTGATGCTGTGAATCACCTGGCGATCCTGCAGACTGCTTGAGTTCCAGGCATTCATCCCTCAGCACTAAACGCTCCAGCATTAAAAAAAAAATGCTTGAGGCTTGAAAGGGTAATTCACGTCTGTGGAAAAAATATAGCAAAAAAAAATTAATATAGTATATAAAATTGCTGCACAAGCAATATTGTAATGTAAAGTGTTACTAAACCCCGGACCCTGCATTCACTATATCTGGTCTCCCACAATACACAGAACAAGGAAATGCAATTAGTGTAGTAAATATAAACTGCTAAATACCTTTTCTCATCAGCATTTAGAGCAGTCTTGTGACTTCAGCACAGCACTGGTTAAAGCTTGTAGGAGTTTTCTTTCTGCTCTAGGAGGATGCAGAACCCCTGACCTCTCTCTGGACAGTGCTGATTGGCCCTGTGTTGATCACATGCACTCTCCCAAGAAAAAAAAAACCTCTCTAGCAAAGCACACTAAACTGAGCATGTGCATGTGGCTACAGGTTCAGTATGTCTTATCAGGTGGACATTTGAACAAAAGAAGGGGCAGAGAAAACAGGATCAAATGGCCTTTTTACACAATGTGGAGGATTAACCCCTTAGGTTCCCCCGTGATTATAACAAGTATGCTTTACTGCATATACAGACTGATTTTACTGTTGTGGGTTTAGTAACATTTTAATGTTATTAAAGTGGTAGAAAATACTTTATTTTAACTTTTACCTACAGGTATGCTTATAATAACGCTTACCTGCAGGTAAAATTAATATCTGCTAAATGTGCACCATTTACGAGATATTCGCTCTTTTTGAGAGCCGCAGGGGCGGACTGACAACTCATGGGGCCCCCGAGCAATAGGGGATCATGGGGCCCCTGTGTCCTTGCCCAAACTCAAAAAAACCTATGAAAAAGGTACCAGGGGCATCTCATGGGGCCCCCTACTGACCCCGGGCCCTCGGGCAGTGCCCGAGTTTCCAAATGGTCAGTCCGCCCCTGGAGCCGGTGCATTTGCTCTGAAGGAGCGTCATACCCATTCCGTTCCTTCAGAGTACTGTGCCATGGCCCAGGACTCTCGCGCATGCGCGGGAGTGACGTCATTGCAGCTCGGCCAGTCAGACTGCCAGGAGATCGCTAACCCAGGAGCAAGATCAGGTGAAGAAGGAAGCCTCTGCAGCTGTGACAGCGTGTCACTGGAGGGCTTCGTTTTAAGGTAAGTCCTTCATTGTGTGCTAGTATGAGACGATACTAGCACATTATAACATTACCTTGCAGGGGATTTTTAAATTATTTTTTTTTACCCCTTTAAACATTACCTTTCCTTTTTAAACTGCAGCACTGCAATTATCTGTAAAATTCAATGCAATATGGCAACTTGGAGGCCTTCTGTACACAACTGATATACAGGACGCCTCCAGAAACGTAAATTCCCACTTGTGTAAAGAACTCTGCACAAAGTCAGCTTTTAGGCATCCTCTGCAACAGAAATGTCACTTGTGGTGAGATATTATTTAAGGGTTATTCACTTCTAGTGGGATTCAGACCCTGCAACTTTTCTCACACAAAAAGTTCACCAGCTGATTAAAATTAATAAATCACTCTCATTCCGAATCAATATCCAAACACAAAGATGAACAACCAGCTTTTTCTTCAGAGCAAAAACAGGCGTGAATCTACAACAAAATTTGTTAAAATCTTGCAATATACTGTATATAGATCACCCAGAGGAGATTTCTTTTTTTCAGCACAACAGCAGAGTTACTCTTTAAAGTTAAGTTAACCACTTCAATACTGGGCACTTATACCCCCTTCCTGCCCAGGCCAATTTTCAGCTTTCAGCGCTGTAGCACTGTGAATGCCAATTGCCCGGTCATGCAACACTGTACCCATATGAAAGTTTTATAATTTTTTTTTCACACAAATAGACCTTTCTTTTGGTGGTATTTAATCACCACTGATTTTTTTTCTTTTTTACTAAATAAAACAAAAGACACCTGAAATTTTTGAAAAAAATGCACGTTTCTTCGTTTCTGTTATAAATTTTTGCAAATAAAATAACATTTCTTCATAAATTTAGGTCAAAATGTATTCTGCTACATTTCTTTGTTGAAAATAATAATAACTAGTAAAGCTACAATTTCTGGGGAAATTGTGTGAAGTGTTCTTGCCTCCACCAGTAGTCTACAACTGGAGTGGGTGGAGTAACTGGGTGGAGTGGGTGGAGTAACTATCGTGTGGTTGGAGTGGCTGGAGTAACTGTGAAAAGGTTGGACTGGGCAGAGTAACTTTATGAAGTGGGCAGAGTAACTGTGTGGAGTGTTTGGAGTGAGTAAAGCTAGTAAACATTACACTAACCAATTGATTGATCAAATTTAGAAATCATGTCCTGATTTTTTAGCTCACACTCTAGCTTTTGTCACTCTGCTGCCTGCTCACACACCTGGGTTCCTATGGCAACTCACTCTACAGCAAGGGCAGAGAAGAGCGGTTAAAAACAAACTGCTCCAACTTGCTCACTTCACTGGTGGTTGCCATCTTCATACGGTTGTAGTTTAAAAATTATAAATCCTGCACCGAAGAGCTTTATATTGTGAGAATCACAAGACCCAGACCTACATTTTGATGCATAGTATGTCTCTGAAATATTAAAAATGAAGGCACAGTTGCAGTTTAGAAATTGCCCTTCAAATTTGAGGTGGCTAGAGTGGAGTTTCAATGAATGTCAATGGGCGGCATGAGTTGCAAACAAATGGTCATATCGTGAAAACTATCAGGACTATGGCTTAGCCGTGGACATTTTTAGTGGCAGCAGGGATAGCTGAATGTTTTGATATAAGATTTGTGTAGGTGGGCTCGAAAATGAGGCAGTGATGGCAGTTTAGTAATCATGTCCTGATTTTTCAGCTCACACTCTAGCTTTTGTCAGCTCCCACTCTAGTTTTGAACATTCCGCCATTCATTCCTATGGAACCAATTTTGCCACAAAAACGGCGATATTTCGTGAACCATTTGGCAAAACGTTCCACAAAGTAATAGCACACCAATCGGGAACAATCCGCACGTTTCGGTATATTACTGTCTATGTAGTGTAAAAACTGTGGGAGGAGTTAGGGTGGTAAATTTAGCTATAATAATAAGAATATATATGTGAGATAACAATAAGTGGTCTTGCCATGCAAGAACACTTAATAATTGAATTTGAATTTGTTTCTATTATTTTTTTATTTTTTTATTAATTTTTTTTTATTTTTTTTTTACTATATTATTTTTCAGCACACTGTGACCAAAGCAATAGAATGTTACCATAGTAACATTGAACTACTCTGGGCAAGTGATCAGGATTTTTTTTTTTACACATTATGATTGCTAATACCAATGTAGTTCATTGATATTTGCAATCGTTGTTACTGAAAGAAACTGATTCATTCAGTCTTTTGTTGTGATTAGCTGTGATTGGGCAAAGCTGATCACAGATGGGCTGTGATTGGCCCTGTCTGTATCATGTGACTGCCTTGACCAGTCACAGCTAACAACATAATTGTATACAATGGATGGCATGACAGGAAGCAATCCATTGTATACAATTGACGTAATCTGCTGTGAATGGTCACAGCGTCACATGACACTGGCAACAGGCCGGTATTGTGATATGTCATTGGCTGTGTCCTGTGGATCACGCCGCCGCGCGGCCCCAAGGCTGTGTGAGCAGCTCGTTTTGACAGGACATCATATGATGCCCAGTCACAACGGCGAGAAGGTGTTAATGTAAAACACAGTAGTACTGAATGTTCTGCTCCAGAGCTCATAACTCCCAGTTGTCTCTTATTTATAGGGAATGTCCTTTCTACAGTATAGAACCAAACCCCTTTGTGCTTCACAGTTATCTTTCTTTTGGGTCTGATGTATAAACCTCCATAAAATGTAGTACCAAAATTGCAGTACTACACTAAATCTTCCATTTAACCTCTAAATAACTGTATTTATTACTTTGAAAAGCCAATCAAATAAGAGCATTAATGGTGAAAAAAGTGGGTTTTACCAATCAGTTTTTGCATACTAATTTCTGGTCCACTTAACTAAGAACATAGTTAAATAGTTAGTCTGGCTGAAAAAAGACAAAAGTCCATCCAGTTCAACCATAGAAAAAAAAAAAGTTATAATCCTATACCCACAGTTGATCCAGAGGAAGGAAAAAAAAAAACCCAGCAAAGCATGATCCAATTTGCTCCTGCTGGGAAAAACATTCCTTCCTGATCCCCCGAGAGGTAATCGGATATTCCCTGGATCAACTATACCTATAAATGTTAGTATCCAGTTATATTCTGTGTATCTAGGAAAGAATCCAGGACTTTTTTGAAGTAATCCACTGAGATGGCCAGAACCAACTATTGAGGGAGTCTATTCCACATTTTCACAGCTCTCACTGTGAAGAAACCTTTCCGTCTTTGGAGATTAAATTTCTTTTCCTCCAG